TTTGACCGCTCGCTACCGTGACCGGCATGTGTTACAGTGTTTAAATATATTAACATATGTATCGATAATTAGTCTAGAGAGATAAGATGGGATGGTATGGATTGGACTGATCTGACTCAGGATAGGGACCAGTAGAGGGCTCTTGTGAAGACGGTAATGAACCTCCGGGTTCCATAAAATGCTGGGAAATTCTTGAGTAGCTGCAGAATTGGCGGCTCCTCAAGAAGGACTCAGCTCCATGAGTAAGTAAGTAAACCAGTAATTAGTGAAATTTCATAAAGTAATTATTGTTTATTAGTTTTCATTAAAATTGTTTCGTTTAATATATACTGAGGGTTTTTATATGTAGAATTAGGTAAGGTGGAATGGAAAGTATGCGGTAAGTTTAAAATTTTCTTTTTTATTTTTATAATTATGTGAGCATATATTGGATGTACCGTGTTATCAGTGGTCACTTGTGTGTTTCCACCGAATGAGCTACTTCGCAGATAGAGGAGTTTCTACGCTGTTGATACCGATAGGCGCGCGCTATCTTGCTTGGGCGGTTTTAATCTGAAAAATTGAGAACATGCTGTAGGGGAATGGTTTTGTTCTGTATTTTTTGTTAACTTTTTTGTTTATATGCTTACCTACTTTGATATCCTGTGGCCGGTTCCTTGGTTATGTTCTTCTTTTGTTATTTATAACTTTTTTCGTTATATTTCCTGTACATCGATTAAACGTTAATGACACGTGTCAGTAGTTAGGTTCACTCGCCGACCGCCTTAACTCAAAAGAACGAACCAATATACACTTTGACTAGTAAACCGTATGCTAGGTTGGGCCAATGATCTAATGTGAAATTGAGAGATTAAAAAATTAAGTATAAAAATGTTTCTGATATATGCTGGGGAGTTACCGGGTTCGACCCACGATCACAATAATATTTGACGTTCCATTGGTTTCTTGGGCGTTCCAGGCAAATGTCTAAGAATTACCTGTAGATTCGATGTGTCCCAGAGTCGGACTTGTCGCTTTGGAGATGAGAATAATTTCATATCTCTTCCCGAAATCGAACCCCAATTCCTCGGTTGCCCATTTTGTAGCCTAATGACTCTAACGAGTGAGCTGTCCCGGTTACCGAACATATTAAGTCAACATTTTTTACTTACAATAAATTTTATATGACGTGAATGCTTCACGAATGTGGAGTGCTCTGTTCCATAAATTTAACTGCGGCCGAAACATCTTTCACTTTGCGTCATTATTACATAATGTGACGTAGGTTGTTACGTCATCATTAGAAAGTAAGGTACAGGTATATCCGTGCCTGTAGCAGGCCATGCTGGCTCATAGGTTTGTCAGACGTCGAGGCTCCCACATTTTCTATACAGTCGCCTCATAGATGGCAGTGAGGTTGTTAGTCTTACGCGCCGGTCGGCCTTTACGGCCAGAGAGATTCCTGGTACTCACCATTAGAAAGTTCCTAATTTTATTTTCAACATAAAATAGGAACCAAAATCTCCATACTAGAGATCTCCTTAAACACACGGGTAGTTTTCATTCTGTAAGGTTGCCTACTCATGCAGTGACGTACTTCCAACGATGCTTTAGACGCAATACAGTGAGTTCATCAATACTACAGAATAGACTTCCTGACTGCAGCATATGCCTCATCCCGTGAAGTCAAGTGGTTCAGGTACATAAGTTTCGGCAACACCCTCAGAGTGCCGATAATGGTATATAGGTCACTTAAAGCTACACTGACACTGTCAGGGGGAGACAGAAAATTGAGACGTCAATACTAACGGGAGGAAACAATTGACAATGCAGAGATAGACGCGCCGTGAAGATTGCAGATATATCTTGGTACCAAGCTTCCGAATTCTGGTTCGTAAAATAGAATAACGCTTTACTTCTTGCCACCTGAAATAAAACAGAGGAGTCAGCACATATTATACGCAAAAGAATTTGATGATATACCCAGCGTTGTCTGTGCCTAATGCAAACGTAAAATTAGGAAATATTATATACTGCAAAGGTATAATGTTGGTCTTGATATTAATATACCGTAACAGAATTGTACGGACATTAAATATTCTATAAAAATTATGTAACTTTTTTCTGACGTTCCAAGTACCGAATTTCATATCCATTTTCTTTAGCCTAGGTCGTTTGTCTTCTCCAAGTATAATTAGAATGATCAAGTCAAGGAGGGTGAGGTGGGCAGAGCGTGTACCACGAAGTGGGGAGACGAGAAATGCATAGAGGATATTGGTGGGAAAGCCAGAAGAAAAGAGACCACTGGGAAGACCAAGGCGTAGGAGGGTGGACAATATTAAAATGGATCTTAGAGAAATAGGATGGTATGGATTGGATTGATGTGGCTCAGGATCGAGACCAGTGCAGGATTCATGTGAACACGGTAATGAACCTTCGGGTTCTTCAAAATGCTGGGAAATTCTTGAGTAGCTGCAGATTTGGCTTCTCCTCAAGAAGGGCTCAGCTCCATAAGTAAGTAATAGGTGACTTCTTTAGTCGCTCTCCAGGGTTCATCACTTTATACAGCAATCAATTTGCCCGTTTTATATGGATGCTGCGAAAGTGAAGACGTTAGACTCATATATTCGTTCATAAAATGGAAGGAGGTTGCGTCACCGTCAGTCAGTGACGTAGACTGTTACGTCATCATTGCACTTACTATACTCATTTTCAATATAGTCGTCACACACCGGTAGGAAATTGAACCACAATGACAGAGGACTCGTCTTCCGTAAGATTGTCTACGCGAGGAATGACGTACTTTTGATCCTAAAAAAGGGATATCTATCCCTGTAACAGGCCGTGGAGGCCCATATTGTTGTGAGACGTCGAAGTTCCCACATTTTCTTTAGACAATCGACTCACAGATGGCGATAAGGTTGTCAGTCTTACTCGCCGGCCTCCCTTTACCCCCAGGAAGCTTCCTGATACTCACTTCTGTTATAAGCTGAGTCGACCCCGGGGACATAGTGCGGCTGAAATGTATTAGCCAATCGAAGAAATCCAATGACCTCATTGGGAATCGAACCCTCGTCCTTCTGGTGTGTAGCATAGTGCCTCAACCAACCGCTACAGCGTGCCCCCACTTTGGCTCGTAGAGAAGATGAACTTTAAGACGAAGTGGCTTGAGATAAGGACAGCCAAATTTAGATTTTCTGGTTAATGGTAAATTTCATAAATAACATCTTTATTCTGAAATGTCAACATACAAATTAATATCTACGCCTGAAAGGCGTGTGAGCTGATGTAGCTTCATGTATTCGTAGATGCAAGTGAGTGTTCAGCGTCGTTCCCAGACCGCTTTACTTCCTGGCGAACCCCCCCCCCCCCNNCCCGATATAATTTGGTTATGGGTGGGCCTTGGAGCCAGTCTAGACGTTGCCGAGAGTACAGAAGTCTTTTACAGCCCTAAACCTAATTTTTATACCGATTGGACTATCCCGGCTCATGGCAAGAATCTGTACTATTTTTTTTTTTTTAATTTTTCAATCATTTTCAGGAACTTATTATCCTATTGTTTAAATAAATTTATCGAATTTAAAGAATACTTTATGAATAATAGAGATTTGTTGGTTTTCATTTTCATTTGCTTGTGTTTAAAAGGAGTACCAAGGCAGTGTATCTTGTATTCAGGAGAGTACAGAGTTTCGCACTTTGGCACCCTCCCTCAGCTGCCGCCCTTGGCGTTCTGTATGTATTACATAATAAATTTTATGCTCTACTTTTCAAAAGATGATATATGCAGCAAACTCAGTTACTACAAGCCACGTGATGCTTCATAAACTATAACAATAATAAAAATCAATTCATGAAATCCGAGGGAAAACTTTTCAGTGTTTAATACACAACCCACGCAAGGTCATGTGGGATTTGTGGTGAATAAAATTACATTGGGTTGGGTATTCTCCGAGTACATCGGTTTCTCCTGCCACTTGCTATTCTACTAACTACTCCATATTCATCTATCATCATCACCTGGGGCTGCTACAATAGGCCCAGTAGTAGCCGAAATAACAAGCGAACTCAGTCTCAACCCCACCCTACGAATTAATTAATTAATCCTCTTCCACAACCAACCGACCAACAACAATGCGCTGGAAGCCATGTTGGACGATGATGCAACTCAAGAATTCTACTGCTCTCTGCAGACGGTTTGCGGAACTAGAATTATTCCTCTTCGTTTATTTTACGCTGTCTCCTTTCAGGTTCGATTAAACTCCCATCCAGAACTACCACCGACACGCCTTGGCTGCGCATACAGAGCAGGGCGAAGCAAATGCTTGCCGCTTAAAGCCTGTCTTTATAGAAGCAGAGGATATTGGGGTTGAGTCAAGTTGCGATTCGAAACCTCCAAGTTTCATAAGGATAAAGTTAACCCAATTTGGTCAGTCGTTAAAGCTGGTTAGTTGTTTATTTAATGGCGCTGTTAGTGTCGAAACTTTGACGTCGGTTGATAGAATGTTTGATGGATGACGATCTCCACCACATTGCGGTTACAACCACTACCCCGCTACTTCATAAGTCAGGAGGTAAGGTAAGAGGTAAATCTGTCCCTGTGCTTAACTAATTAAGCACTACGCCATGAGGGCTCATGGAGGAGTGGATACATAGACCCAAGTTTTCTTGACCTCAGCACTGGTTGGAGATGAGTGGTCAGTCTCACGCCCCGGCCGCTTTATCCCCGGAGAAATAGCCCTCAATACTCATTGTATAAGAGGTTGGATGGGCCCCAGAGTCGGTGTGGAAGACACGGAGAAATAAAATGTATTGCCCCCACTGGGACTTGAACACTAACACTTCGATTTTCCAACCCGTAGGAAGTAGCTGCGATATCCTGGCTCACTCAAGTCAGAAGCCGTATCAAAATGCACGGGGTTTCCCCAGACAGCAGCAATACTGGCAATGAAGAGTGGAACTGGCCCCTTCAAAGATGCGTTTATTTGTTATTTTGATTCAAGATTGTTTCCTGTCATCTACAGATGGTTTCGAGATCAGATGGGCCAGTTGCGCCCTGTTACGCAATCAATGCGTGTGACGCCGTCTCAGGATGTCCTTCATATCCGTCACCTGAGTCCTGAGGATGCCGGCAGATGGGTCTGCCGGGTATCGAACCAGTTCGGCGAACAGAGGCTTGAAACTCAACTAACAGTGACGGCTCAACTAAGTGTTCATGTACAGCCTCAGCTACAGGTAAGTCTACATAACCTAAGTAGACTCGACTCTATACGAGCTCGCACCTATGCCGTAGGGTCTTCCTCTTAAAAGCGGTCCGAGCAATAAGACGGAAACAAAACAAAACAAAAACAAACTCCGTGGCCTGTAGTCAACCAGAAAACTATACCGACCAAGCCACCGCCGCTTGTCGAAGTTAGTGCCAACTTTAGCGGATAGAGGATGTCACGTGGTCAGCACAACGGATCCCCACGGCCGTTAATCTCGGTTTTCTACACCGGAGCCCCCATTTCCTTGAAATAGCTCCTCAGTTATCCTCGCGAGGCTGAGTGGACCCCGTTCCATACCCACCACTTCTCAGGAAATCTGGGTCCCCTGGATCTGTAGCCAGAAACCACTAGACCACAGAGGCGGTCATACGGAAACGCTGTCCAGAAGACTCACTGAGCAATACCAACATTTATTCTGATAGCGTAGGAACAAACACTAACTCATGCAGCAGAGATCTTGGAGAGCTGAGAGAGGCTCGATCAGCCAGGAATATCCCGTTCAGATTGGTTATTTCAGGTTATTATACACTAATTATCTAATTTTCTCCAAGCTTGGTAATCTAACAGATTTGAATATATAGAACAATTTGTGGCGATTCTGTGGCTGTTACAAGTGGAATGACCAATAAATCGAGTCATCTATCCAAACCCCGTCTAGAGTCACACATCCACGTGACAGTATTAGTTCCTACAGTGAACACTTTTTTATTCATTATTTAACGACGCTGTCAGTATCGAGAATAGCCTAGTATAATTAATTAATATGCACCAGCATGTGGAATGAGAATTGGCAAGGGAAACCGAGTACTCGTACAAAACCTGCCACATTGCCACTCTGTCTACAATAAATCTCACATGACCTGTCGTGGGTTTCAACCCAGAGCCCCGAGGTGAGAAGGCGGTGACTAATCTCGTTAGCTGAACCGCGGTCTCACTAGATGTCTCGTTTAATTACACAAGGATAATGAAGATTGTAACGATAATAGTTTACGTTTTCTCTAAGCACCTGGCCATTAATATATATCGGGGGGTGGAGGTATAGCCCCCCCTCAATGTTGACCTCTTCACTAGAAGGAGCTGATTGGTCACCTTCACGCCCCAAGCGAAAACCCCTGTAAACTTCGTATAGGAAACTGAATGGGCTCAGAGCCGGTATTGGACGCTGTGAATAAGAGAGAAATCTCTTGTTCTTGCAGACAATCGAACCCTGATTCCTCGGTCATCCAGCCCATAGCCCTCGTTATACCGACTGAGCTCATCTTCTGGGAACTAATTTGCGGTGAGGTTTGTCACATTCTGGAGATCAGCTGGGTCCACAAATACAAGGTTACAGCTGTTGATATCCTGTTCATAGGTTGTGAATTCTGGTGATGCTGCCACGTTTAACTGCTCCGTTGCGGGCTCCCCGATCGAGTCCGTGTGGTGGCTGCGCAACTCCGAGCCGGTGCTGTCCATGTCTGAGGGGGAGGCGCCCTCAAGTGCCCGGGTGCGTCTGTTGTCCCAGCAAGTGCTTCGTGTTAACGGGGTGTCCCGTTCTGACCGTGGAATGTACCAATGCTTCGTGCGTAACGACCGAGAGAGTGCACAGGGCAGCGCGGAGCTGCGGCTGGGAGGTGAGTTCTTTGGTTAGGTCCTTCTTAGACGTCAAATTTGGGCGGTATTCAGTACGATAATAACAAGACCGCCAAAAGGACATTTCTCACATTTCCTGAGGAGTTAGTTGTAGGGGTGAGGTAACAATGAATCACAACACTGAGGCCCCAAAGGGGCCCTCTGTACTGACTTTTGATGAGTTAGTTTTAAGGGTAGGGTGACACTCAATCCCTTACTCCTGGAACAACAAAAGGGTCCTTTATATCAGTTTCTGAAGAGTTACTTATAGGGAGGGGTGAGATGACAATGAATTTCAATATTTAGGCATCAAAGGGGCCCATTTTACTGGCTTCTGATGAGTTACTTGGAGGAGTAGTGTGAGACTCAGTCCCTTAGAATCGGGGCCCCAATAAATCGAAATCAAGTGACACAGCATCGCTACATAAATTCTTCAGTTGTCAGAATTTTTTTTAAATTTTATTTTATGTGTAATTTCTGTTGGTGTTAAGTTAATATAAATACTTCATTAATATCTTCGGTGCAACACTATATGCATATACAAGCCGGAAGGTAGCGGGTTCAAGTCCCCATGAGATAATTGGATTTCTTCAATTGACCTAATCCTTCCAGCCGCACTATGGCCCTGGGGTCGACTCAGCCTCTAACAGAAATGAGTACCAGGAATTAATTAAATAATTTTCCTGGTGAGTAAAGCGCGGCCGGCGCTGACAAACTTACCGCCATCTGTGAACTGATTGTCTAGATAATGTGGGACCCTCGACGTCTCACAACCCTATGGGCCTCCACGGCCTGTTACAGGAATAGCTTTACTTTTTTTACCCATGTAACAGGCCGTGGAGGCCCATAGGGTTGTGAGACGGCGAGGTTTCCACATTTTCTAGGAAATCGGCTCACAGATGGTGGTGAGGGTGTGTTACTGAAGTTACTAGAAAAACTGCAGGCAAATACATGGTAGAAAACCTGACCTGAGGATGGAGGCAACAGTTTCCTCCGAAGTATTGGTGTCATATTCCAGAAGACAATAATCTTATTATTGTCAGGAACTAAAATTTCGTATTCTGTAACTTCTTTCCTTTTTTAGTGTCACGCAGTTGTGACAAAAGCCCCAAGTTTCAACGAAAATGGCCAGGAAAAGGGTCCATATATACATACACCGCCTTCTAAACCCACCTTTATGGAAACCCCATAGTTATGTGTGTGATTTATGGCCGGAGGAAGTTGATGCTCATTTCCGGGGTCGACTGTGGCGGTAGCTGGTGGGAACAGCGAGAACTATCGACCATCTCTACAGTAACAAACCGCCAGGGTGTGACGTATGAATAATGCAAGTTACGCAATAAAACAGCGACATGAACACCCTCCCGTGGGCGATTCAGGAATCTCACACTCCTTTGTTGAAAAGTTCGGGTTGGAGCGCCATAAATAGCTATACTGTAGAATTTCATTACTTCTATATTATACTTTCTCCCCCCTCCTCTTTAATATCCCTGCTCATGTACCTGAATGCAGGGCTGAAAGAAAAAAAACATAAATTTTTGTTGTGTTCAGAACTGGGTTTCCAGACAGCAACCGTCTTTTGTTAGTTTCTGCATTGCCTATCGTAAAATGAAGCCGAGTCTTATTGGAATTTCAATGTCCTCTAAAAAGGTAAATTAATCGGTGTTCTTAATTAGTTAAACACTATGCTATGAAGACACACGCCCCGGTCGCTTTACTCCCCGAGGAAGAGCCCCAGGTACCCACTGGTTAGAGAGCTGGATGGTCCACAGAGACGGTCTGAAAAACGTCGAAAATAGAATATATATCTCCTTGCTGGGATTTGAACCCCGGATGTCCAGCCCATAGACCATCGCTATGCCGACTGTGATATGTACTGAATATTTTTGTGGTTTGTGTTGGTTTATTATTCTCCTGCCAGTGTAAGTACTAACCGATCAACTGCAAAAGATTTGAGGTTCTTACAACTGTTACTATAAAGGCATGTGGTCCGTTTAAAATCAACCGACGTTTTGGAGGAACATATTGTCTCCATCATCAAGATCGAATAAGATCTAAGCAAGAAACCAACATGAAGCAGGTAACAAGCAAAGCCTGGCTCTTCCGAAACGTCGATTGAATTTCACTAAATTACATTCGAGAAGATATAACTCTTCATAACCAATCAAGCAACCGACAAACTTACTGATTTTATGGTCCATAAACTGCTTTAGACTAGCGAAACATCCTGTTTTGTTACTCTATTAAGGTAGTGTTGCTGATGTTTCGGAGATATATATTGCCTCCATCTTCAGGCTTATCGTATGTTGGGTACGTGAGCTTTTGTATACGCATAGATTGTTATTTTTAATGAACCGAGGGAATGACAGACAGGGATATTTGTGAAAGACGGCTCCTTTACCCCCTACTCTTACCGATACATCCGAGCACAGTAGCCATGGCTGCTAAAGTAATGCGGAAATATTTCAGAATATCATGTATAAATCCATAGGACCAATATTTTCAAGTAAGACTATTAATAAAATAACCATTTTTCTTGTATTTCAACCACTCACTCATTTACTCCCTCACTCATGGAGCTGAGCCCTTCTTGAAACGCCTCCAATTCTGCAGCCACTGAAGAAATTTCAAGCATTTTATGGGACCCGAAGGTTCATTACCGTGTTCACAATATACCCCCACTAGTCCCTATCTTGAGCCAGATCAATCCAATCTATACAGTTACATTCTATTTAAGATAAATGTTAGTATTGTCCACCCACCTACGTTTTGGTCTTCCTATTGGTCTCTTGTCTTCTGGATTTCCCGCCAAAATCCCGATATTTCATCCAGTCAAAAGAAATCTTGAAATCCACGTTGTTACCGAAAACGTCATGGCTATCCTTTTATTTAAATGTAGTGTTCGTGGAAGGTATGCGCTTCCTTCTGATATATTCTCCACGTGTCTTCTGTACTATATGAAATAAACCCTTCAGGAAACACAGAAGAATATGATGGAACAGATCTTCTTATGAGTTTATCCCTAGGGAATAACAACTAACTCTCAGGAGAAAAATACTCGTGGAAAATTTTGAATAAAAAGTAGCAGAGTTATTTGGTGCAAACATTGCCGTTATACTGCTGCTGCGCTCCGGGTTGGTTTTATTCTTTCTGTTTTGCTAAAAGACCGCCTCTGTGGTCAGAGTTCCTGGCTACAGATCCAGAGGTCCCGGGTTCGATTCCCGGCGCCACCAGATTTTCTGAGGAGTAGTGTGTCTGGAACGGGGTCCACTCAGCCTCGTGATGCTAATTGAGGAGCTATTTGATGAAAATAGCGGCTGCGGTCTAGAAAACCGAGATTCGTTGCGCTGACCACGCGACACCCTCTATCCGCTAAATTTGGCAATAACTTCGCCGACAAGCGGCGATCGCTCGGTCGGTATAGTTCGCTTGCGGACTAAAGTCACGGAGTTTGTTGTTTGTTTTTATGTTTGCCGATATGTACGCTGTTTCCGCCTGCTGTCCGAGTCTGCGGTGTGTAACTTGACTACAGAAGTGTTTGACTCTCTCGTCTGAACGACTCAATGATTTGTTGGAACCTGTAAGGCTATAACACTGTGTTGTAGGTCCTTAATATCGCCTTAAAGCCCTGACTGATGCTCATTCAAGTTCTATGGTTCATAGTGGAAGCATTTATATTGTCACGTGTATTCGTGACTATGGACGAGGTTCCGATTGGTAATTCCTATCAAATGGGTATGGGGGGGGGGCTCTTTCTCCTGGGTTAAAGCTGCAGGGGCGTGAAGCTGACCGCTCACCTCCAATTAGTGCCAATGCCAAGAGAACGTAGGTATATACGTACATCCACTCCCCCATTCGCCCTCATGGCGTAGTGCTTAATTATTTAAGCACAGGGACAACTCTATATTTATTAACATTTACTACATTTAATTTTATTCTTCAATTTCGACATTAGTTCAAAAATTCGTGAGTAAAGATTAAAAAACAAAGTAAAGTTACCTCTATAACAGGCTGTGAAAGAACATAGGGTTGTGAGACGTCGAGGCTCCCACATTTCCTAGACAATCAGCCCACAGATAGCGGCGAGGTTGTCAGCCTTACGCGCAAGCCTCCCTTTACCCCCAGGAAGATTCCTGGTACTCATTTCTGTTAGATGCTGAGTCGACCAGAGGTCGAAGGATTAGCTCAATTGAAAAATCCATCTCATCGGGACTCGAACCCGCCACTTTCCGGCTTATAAGCATAGTGTCTCAACCACTTACGCGTATCCTCCACAAATCAATTGAGGCTTGCCATGCTCCCTGCCGGTGCCAATGCAAACCACTACTTCCGTCTTTCTTTAAAATCTCTTTTAAGGGAAGTGAACACAAAGAAAATCATAAAATGGAGGAACTTCGTAGTAAGAGCTATATCTGCGTAGCTGAATCAAGTGACCTCACTCTACTTCTCTCTTTCAGTACTCTGTCTGAAAGAGCCTGGCACTGACGGATCTTGGTGGGTTGGCAGGTGTGAAATAAATCCGTTTATCGCAGTTGTAATAGGGTGTGTGACAAGTTTCTGCTTACAGTCTCTGCCTGGAGGCAAGATTTTCTGCTGTTTTCACCGGTACTTGCAGAAGAATGTCTTAAAGAAAGAAAATCCACTTTCTTCTTCCTTCTCCCCACATTATGATTCACAGTATTATGGGAAGTGGAGATACAGCTCCACCAATCTTGCGCTGAGTACCAGATCGACCGCTCCGACCGCTTTACCCCTGTGGAACGAGGACCCTATAACCGTTGTACAGGAGGCTGTGTGAACCACAGAGTCAGTCTGAAAATTATTGTACAGAGAAAAATCTTGTTCTACTGCCAGGAATCAAACTCCGGTCGTCCAGCCCGAAGCCCGTCGCTATACCGACTGTCTAGGCTCCTGTTATTCTTTCCAAATATTGCAAACACCATATAATTTTTTATTCTTGTGTGTTGAAGTTATTCACAGGGACCGCCTCTGGGGTCTAGTGATCAGAGTTCCTGGCTACAGATCCCGAAGTCCCGGGTTCGACTCCCTGCGCTACCAGATTTTCTGAGAAGTAGTGGGTCTAGAACGGGGTCCACTCAGTCTCGTGAGGATAATTGAGGAGCTATTTCAAGGAAATAGCGGCTGCGGTCTAGAAACCCAAAATTAACAGCCTTGGTGATTCTTTGCACTGACCACGCGACACCCTCTGTCCCTTAAAATTGGCACTAACTTCGCCGGCAAGGGGAGGTTGCTTGGTCGGTATAGTTCGCTTGCGGGCTAACACCACGGAGTTTTTTTATATTATTCATAGACTTTATCTAGTATTTTTATTATGTTTGTTATCCATCACTGCGTATCCTGTTCTCCTCAAGTTTTCTTTCGGTAACGTCCAACATTCTGACTTGTGTCACCAACAGAAAGACGTGTCGAGTTGACAGACTGGTGTAAATATCACAGACATACGGTCATTTACCACATATACCCTGATGATGGAGCCATTTATTGACAGCCTTACATCATTAAATAAATTACAAATAAATAAATGTATAAATGTATAATAGTACCCTACCTTTTAGGGGGCCCATACACATACGAGTCTGGCTCGGGTTCCAATAAGCCAAACTCGTCCGTGTGTGGGTCACCACGCTCATACGTTTATGGTGAAATTAATCCCAGCCCGGCTCCTCGCCGAGCCAGACTCGTACGTGTATGGGCCGCCTTAGATATAGGTGTCCAAAGTTGGCCTAGTTTCTTCTTTTCATGTTTACCAATATAATTTTTTGTGTTGCATTTCTCAGCTTCCGCTATAACCGTTACTGTTTCCTCAACTGCAAGTTACAGAGCGCCTCTATGTCTTGCAGACACAGTACCAGAGCTGCAATCCAATTTTATCGAGCAGGTCATAAGGCCAGGCTCCCCTATCTCGCTGCACTGCTCCGCCACAGGAAGTCCACCGCCACAGTTCACCTGGTACCTTGACGGAGAGCTTCTCACAGCTGCGAGCGTGGGCCACAGATATGCGATTGGTCAGTACGTGGATCAAGTCGGTGACGTCATGAGTCACGTGAACATAAGCAGTACGAGAGTGCAAGATGGTGGGCTGTACATGTGTAAAGCAACGAATTCTCTTGGATCTGTCAGTCATGCAGCCAGACTCAACATTTACGGTGAGTTATGTATATACATTGTAACATAAAATTTTTCTCCATTGGGTTAACGTTTAGTACTACTTACATAGCCTATTCGGGTTGTGTATGGAGTGGAAGTGAACATAAAGTGAAGGTATCCCTGTAACAGGCCTTGGAGGCCCGTGGGGTTGAGATGTTGAGGTTCCCACATTTTCTAGACAATCGACTCACAGATGGTGCTGAGATTGTCAGCCTTACGCGCCGGCCGCCATTTACCCCAGGAAGATTCCCGGTACTTATTTCTCTTAGAGGCTGAGTCGACCCCAGGGCCATAGTGCGGCTGGAAGGATTAGGTAAATTGAAAAAATCCACCTCATCGGGATTCGATTCCGCGACCTTCCGGCATGTAGCATAGTGACTCAACCAACTATGCTACCGCGTTCCCCCCCCCCAGTGGAAGTGAACATAGTCAAGGAAAATTATACGCCTAGTTCACACTCGCATGACGGCCACTAAGTTCTATTACATGGCAGATTCGATTCTTAGTAACGTTTATCAGAGTGTGAACTACGCCTAAAGCAATTCTACTGCCATCGCCCGACAAGAAGCCAACAAAAAGCGTTTAGTTATCACTTGAGACCTATCGAGGCTCCTGTCCTATAAGTGCCCATGGATGTGTACCCCTTTATAAAAGGCTAGTTTATGAGATGGACCGAAGAGGGATGAAGTGACAGGAGGTTGGAGAAAACTGCATAATGAGGAGCTTCATAACTTGTACTCTTCTCCAAGTGTAATTAGAATGTTCAAGTCAAGGAGGATGAGGTAAACAGGGCATGTAGCACGAATGGGGGAGAAGAGGAATGCACTTAGGATATTGGTGGGAAAGCCAGAAGGAAAGAGACCACTGGGAAGACCAAGGCGTAGGTGGGTGGACAATATTAAAATGGATCTTAAAGGTATAGGATGGGATGGTATGGATTTGATTGATCTGGCTCAGGATAGGAACCAGTGGAGGGCTCTAGTGAACACGGTTATGAAGCTTCGGGTTGCATAAAATGCTGGGAAGTTCTTGAGTAGCTGCGCAGTTGGTGGTTTCTCAAGAATGGCCCAGCTCCATGAGTGAGGGAGTTGACGATAAGATTACAAAGTTGCAGTCCTCGTCGAAGTGCACATTTTCGCTGTCATTTTTTGTGCTTTGGTAATCTCAGTGATCCATCATTAACCGTGAAATTATTTTCTGTAACGTGAACTAATAAAACACATGCGATATAAAGGCGAATTCTACGCGCTTTCGTCATCCGCGGTTCTGTTACGTCGCTTGAGTAGCATCACCGTCCTGTCCACAACTATAGTAGAAGCCTTCGCGAATGCCCAGAGAGTTGCGTGCTTAGTCGCCCTGAAATTTAGACCCAGTCATGTGGTTTCCCACTCCCCTCCACACCGTTCCCAGTGTTCGTTCAATGCTGTTCCCGTTTCACGCGTTTTCGATGTACAGGTTATCGCCTATAATCCGAAATAATTAAAACGCCTTTGTGTTCGGACTGTCGAATAAGTCGGATTGATGGATTTCAAATACAGATTTAGAATTTTTTAGTAAAATTATTTATTCCGAAGCTTTATTGGTGCAGTTCATGTATGAACAACGACCGGATACTGCGGGTTTCTGACTACAGCCCGGGCTCGGGGAAAGCTGTAACTGGGTTACATATTTCACCACGGACAGAGACAGGTCCATTAACACACAGTATCATGTTTCCACGTATTCAGTTTTACTGCATGGAAGTAAAATAATTTTGATTAAATTTGTAATTTTGGAGATGCCGATTTTTTTATGGTACCGTTTACCAAGGTATCACTGTACACCGTCATTTTCGGTTACGCAACGCCTCATGTGACTAGAATGTAACTCGCATATAATGAACTAGATGGGGCTAGTGTCGCTCAAACGTCACATGCTTGTGCGTCGGCCACATAGTTTAATATTGATTATAGGAAATTAAAATGTATGAGGTTTGGGCTGGACTTCAGTGGTAGAATATTCATATCAGGCGTTACAAAAACTACATATAGGACCCAATAGTAATATGCATAATTATATACTTGGTAGCTGTCAGGCTTTGTTCCAAAGGAGGGCAGCCAGATTTGGGGGGGGGGTCGGAAAATTTTCTTAAATATTATGTTTAGGACTACATTTGCCTCTCGTTCCCTGATGTGTGTTTTATGTTTGTTTTTGAATATTGGATATTATGAGTACGCGAAGCGGACGGATTCCCTGATAATATAACAGTCGTACCATATCATATCAACTATACACTCTCTTTATCTATTTCGTTTCATTTTTGGGTTGTCTCTTCTGTAGCTCTCTCTCTCTCTCTCTCTGTATTATATAAAAAGTCGGGCAACGTCCACTTCGCATCAGTTGCACTGAGTTCGCATGAACGCCGATGTAGGCGCCACCTGACAGCTTGCATGTGAAAGTATGACGTTTCATATTGAACATCGTACGAGTCGAGAAGTGTCCAGCTTTCTAATGTTACAGCTATAGTCAATCATGGTTGGTCGTCCTAGGCATGCGCGTTGCCATGAGTTTTTTTTATCTGTGCTGTAAACTACTTTCAGAACTAACTTGATTGCTTTCATTTTTTACCAGGATCTCCCTACATCCGCGCCATTGGTCCTGTTCATGCGGTGGCAGGACATGATATCACTCTGCATTGCCCGTACTCTGGGTATCCAATCAGCGCCATCAGCTGGGAGCGGCGAGGACAGGAAATACCGGTAGATCTACGCCGATCGCTTGGAGAAGGTGGCTCGCTGACCATCAGCCGCGTGGACCCGACCGTCGATGCGGGAAGCTATGTCTGCTCCGTGCGGGGCAACAGTGGCGAGCTTGCGCGCCGAGAGGTCCAACTGACCGTCAACAGTGAGTACGTAAAGAGGGGCAACCGGCCTTACTGAAAACGCAGCAGTTCAGAAACTAACCAACGTCTCCAAAATTCAGTCCTATAAATGTTCGAGATTTTTGTATATCATTGAATAATTCATTCTTGGATTGTAAAATATCATGTTTTCTACTTATTACGGGCTATTTCATGTTAGTCAACATCTCAGGTTGTATACAGCATGTCCCAGGGGAAATGTCAATATTCTGGGAGGTCATAGTGTCGGTCATTCTAAGCGAAAAATATGTATATGTACATGCGTACTATTCCGAACGGTTCCAAACAATTCCAAAATTGTTGATAAGAAAGAGATATTACGTACTGTTTCTAATACCGGTATTTATTGTTCAAGTGAGAAAATTGGTGCAGTTTACCTGGTATAATGCATTTTCGAAAATTCCGCCGTCACCGTCAGTGCACTTTGCAACTTGTGTGAGGACATGGCGTTTTGCTCGTCTGTACAGTGAAATAGCTGTATCTCGGAAACTGTTTGGAATAGACACTTGTACATATACTCTTTTGGCTTGGAATGGCCGATGCTATGACCTCTTAGAATATTTTACTTTTCTAGTGGGGCATTCTATATACAGAGTGGCCCGAAATTCTGAAGCATTCACTCATATTAATGGAAATGTTCAGATTTGAACCGTCCAGTCAGGGTGTGGAAGAGTATCACAGCGCTGTGAATTGTGTATTGAAACGCGAAGACTTTAATGTCGAACAATTTTTCGAAATTCAGTAAGTAATGAAGAAATTTCCAGTGTTCGTTGTACTAACCACTTAACTTACTTGTATTCCCCCCTCTTGTATCGATTGATAGTATGATGGACGAGTGGTGAAATGGAAGGGATTGGTAAGGCGGTGATTGTGGCCCAGTTGAGGCGCTGTCCTGGCATTTCTCCGGTGGAAATGAGGAAAAGCATGAAATACCTCAGTGACGATAGCAATGTCCGGGCCGAGACTCGAAAGGGGAACCTCCTGAATAAAAATCCAGAACATTCCCGCTGTACCAGACCCTCCTTCCGTTTGTAACTGAATTGGTTATATGGGCTTCAGTGTTTTATGAGTAATGTACGAGTAACAGAAAGAATGCAGAAGGAAGCCACAGTGAATCATTTCAAGGTAGTGTCCCATTATTCAGTGGAAGAAACTGAGTATACCCACGCAAGAATCCAGCTCGCTGGACAGAGGTTTGAACCCATGCTACTGGACAGCAATTTTCTGTGGCACTCTCCTGAGTTATATTTTTACCGTTATGAAGTATTTTTATTGCTACCAGCCCCAGATGATAGGTGAGGGTGATTGTGGATCAATTGGTGGAATGAAGATTGGCAGGGGAAACCGAAGTATTCGGAGAAAACCTACCCCAGCGCCACTTTGTCCACCACAAATCCCACTTGACCAGACCCCGGGATCGAACCCGGGCCGCCGCGGTGGGAAGCCAGCGACTAACCGCTCGAGCTATGGCGCGGCCTCCCGTTATGAAGTAAGTCTGGGAGGAGTTTGATGTGGAATGATATTACGAGTAGCAATGGTCAGCACAAACATAACGATACTTATTCCGGAACACAAACGCCTGTAACAACTGACCCGCCTTACAGCTATGTCAAAGAAGTTGCCACATATGACAGGCGCTTCACAAAACATGTTAGAATTTATGTCTCACAGCGATGACTATGAAGAAAGCTATTTTCTCGTAAGTGATGCCGTGTATTACAGTAGTCACCGACCAGCGCAGTCGGTATAGGGACTGGTTAGGGGCTGGGACGACCAAGGGGTCGGAGTTCGGGTCCCGATAGGGTCAAGAATTTTCTTAACTCCACAGCGTCAAGACCGGCTCTGGGGTCCACCCAACCTCTTATCCAATGGGTACCGGGGCTAAAGCGGCCAGGGCGTGAAACTGACCACTCGCTTCCAGCTAGTGTCCACGACAAGAAAATATAGATCTATACATCCACTTCCCCATACATCTTCATGGCGTTGTACTTAATTAGTTAAGGACAGGGACAACTTTACCGACGTTTCGTAGGAAATTATTGCTCCCTTATTCAGGGTTGAAAATACTCTGAGCAAAAAATAGCAGTAAAGAGTCTACCAATTGGCTTGGCCATCCCGTGGTTCAGGCACGTAGTCGCCGCCTTTTTACTCTGGTGCCCGAGGTTCAGTCCCAGGTCAGTTCATATGGGAGTTGTCGTGGAGAAACAGAGTTCTTCCAAGTACTTCAGTTTCCATGTCAGTTCTCTTCACACCAGATGCTCCTATTACATGATCTGGGGCTCGTGCATGGCTCCACATGAGCGGTAAGGAGCAAAGGGGAAACTGCCGCCCCCCACCGTAAAATGAAAAGAATGTTGTTTAATGACGCTGTAACTATGCAGACTATTAAGCATCGATGATAAGAATGGTGAAGCTACCTCTGTAACGGGTCGTGGAGGCCCATAGAGTTGTGAGACGTCGAGGCTCACACATCCAGACAATCGGCCCACAGATGGAGGTAAGGCTGTCAGCCTTACGCTCCGGCCGCCCTTTATCCCCCAGGAATAATCCTGGTACTCATTTCTGTTAGAGGCTGAGTCGACCCCAGGGCCATATTGCGGCTGGAATGGTTAAGTCAATTGAATCCAGCGACCTCATCGGGAATTGAACCCGCGACCTTCCGGCTTGTAGCATAGTGCCTCAACCAACTACGCTACCTGATGCCCTATAGCAGACACGAGACATATGTTCAAACTGAGGTTAACAGCTCTCATGCCTGATATTATTAGTAGTTTGCCAAAGTTTTTCCTGCGAATATTGGAGTAACACACCTGTTTTGAAAGAAGCTAGAACCTTTTCCTTCCAAATCATTGTTTAGAAATTCATGATGATCTCTTAGTTGATGCTATAGAGCCTATGCAATTAAAAGAATATTGTTGTTGTTGTTGAACAAGCTAGGGAAAAGTCAGTTGAAACGGTTGTGAAACGTTACATCCAAAATTATTGAAAGGAAGATACACAAAAAGTAAAGTGCGAGAAATTATAATAGTAGGAATGTTTGGTGCAGGTAAATTGGTTCCCTCACTCGAAACTGCAGCGTAGAGTGATGCTCAGTGTATGCTCAAGATGCAAGTGGATGACATCAAAACCGGGTTGCACGGCTTTGGACAGTGAAGTAGGTCACCGAAACATTTTCAGCATTTATGCCACATAAATCGACATTTCCCTCGAGACATATTGTAGGTTAACCCTCTCAGCCTTTCACCTTTCTTTAAGGATTTCTTTTTACGTCTGTATAGAGGGGAACTTGTTTGTCAAATGCTATAAAAATCCACCCTTCCTATTGTTACTGAAGCCGATAATAAAATCTGACATTTAACCTCTGCTTTAGTACATCTATGTCAGTGACATATTGGGACCTGGCAGTATTTTACTTCTTTTCTGAACAGAATTCGTTGCAAGCAGAACATATTTATAAATGCAGTGTTTACATTTTTGGTTTGGCTGTACATATATATTGACTGGAATGTTTATGATCTAATTTTGCTGAAATTTTATCGTGATTATGCTTATGAACATAACTAATTCTATGCTTCATTTTTGCTCATGATTTCATAGTTGCTCAGCAGGCCAAGAAATTCACAACCTCTTATGAATCGCGAAGTGTTATTACTATGTGCACAAGGCCATTGTATAGGATTGTATCCTGAGACAGTTGAATCCAATCTGTGACCTCAACCTGCTTCCTAAAGATCAATTTATTGCATTTAATAACTCTCTAAGTAAGTTAAAATATGTCAAACAATAGAATAATTAATGGGTAATCAGTTAAAATGATGTGAAACAAAGTAACTGAGGTTCAGTTTTACATAGTATCTGATTATTTGCTGCAGAAACTGAAGCATATAGCAAAGAATCTTATAACAACTGGTGCTGAGAATTTGGTTCGAAATGATGACCTCCCTACTTTGTAGCAATAATATTAAGCACTACACTGCGATATTTGCTTTAAAGGTTATGTTATGTTTCCATTAATGCCTAGGTCGAGTTCATGTTAGATATATTGCAGTGGAATCTTGTGTTAATTGTTTACTACATTTTATGTTTCAGATCCACCTGTAGTGGAGCCTTTTTTCTTTCCGTCCAGTTTGCAGGAGGGGAGCCGTGCACAGGTCTCTTGCAGTGTCTCATCTGGTGACCTCCCTATCGAGTTCTCGTGGCTTAAAGATGGCGTTCCTCTCCCCTCTTCACTGCAGGTAGTTGTACTATGATTCATACACAATGGTACATAAGTGACAAGAAATACAGAGGTAGAAAGATGAGGAGTAACTCTGTCAATTGGGCCCAACTGAGTAGGTTTTACCTGAAGACGGAGGTATAATCCAATCTCCGAAACGTTGTGATTTGAAATATAAACAGGATGATGGATAATGTCCAGAAATGTATGTGTGGAAAGTTTCCATTTGAAGTTTACTTCCATTCTTTGCAGTGCCCGATTTCTGCCGTGAATTCTTGCCAATTGATAGGAGTGTTCATAGGTCCACTATTCTCTGCATCTGGAAATAATTTAACATTTTAAAAATCAAATCTCTAGCTTAATTAAGCAAAATTTGGTCTTTGATCATGTATATTTGACCCTTTGGTAGCCTGGTCTCCTGTCATAGAACACCCCGCTAGAAATGTCAAAGGAATTTGGGGCTAAGTGCAGTTGCACTGAAGAACCTACAATACTTCCTCAGATTACCTTAAAGTGACCACAAGTATATCTAGTGTGAGAGAATGTTCTTTCCTCTAAACATTGCTCTTCATTTAGAGGCCTTTGGAAAAATCACGTACAGATCGACACATTTTGGATAAGAAACAATGTAGTCTGGTTAGAGGCATGCTGACTGTCCAGTATATGTTGGGGCAGAACCTCCACATTACAGGCCTCTCAGAAATCATATGCAGGATATGCGTACAAGAAGATGAATTCTCCTGACATATACTTTGTCAGCGCCAAGCGTTTTTTTAATAATAGAACAGAGATCATCGATTCTGAGTTGAGTTAACAGATATGAAGAGTGCGTCAGTGAGGTTAGTCTTGGCTGTAGAATTATGGTCAGGGTCTTTGAAGTGCCCTAACAAGGTCAGAGATGCACGGTGGACCCAGCAGTGGTCTGAATGCTTGTGGCAACAGAAGCAGAACTCCAAAGTCAGAACCAATGCTAATATCTTGTCTACTTTTGTTAAAGATTGAGGAAAAGAAGGGTGGAGCCTTCTTCACATTCCTGGTGTTCAATCAAGTGACATCACGGCACAGTGGTTCCTATACTTGTGTAGCGAGCAACTCGGCAGCTAGCGTCAACTACACAGCTCAGCTCCTTGTTAAAGGTTAGCCTCTGATAGTTTATTCATAAGATCAAAGAGCCGTACCAGATAAGACACTACAAATTTCAGCATAGGAAATCTGAAAGTTACAAGAAGATAATATTTCATAGTTTGTTCATCCTTTTTGTTCATATCTGGATTTGACTCACACTCAATGTTATGAATGATGATTATGTTCCCAAACAAGGCTACAGTGACCTGTTAAACACATGATTATACTTATACACATTGTACTCCATAGTTCATATTCGTAAATTTAAGGTTTTCCTTCATTTTATATTCAGTTTCATTGATCTGAAGTTAATAATGTCACTGTTAAATTTCCTCCAGCGAAGATATACCTCGGTAAAGTGTTCAAAGATATTGCATCACAGATGGAAGTATAATTGATAGATAGTAGAAGGTAAATATACGTTATATCGTTCCTACTGTACTTAAGCACCATCCCATGAAGATGAATGGAAGATTGGAGGAATAACTCCATGTGGTTTTAACTTTGGCACTAGATAGAGGGGAGTGTTCAGTCACTATCACACTCCAGTCACTTCCCTCCTTGGGAAATGAGCCCCCAGTACCTAGGATAGGAAGCTTTGTGGTTCCCAGGGCTGGTTTGGACACTGTGGAGTAGAGAAAAAATCTCTTATTTCTAAGAGAAATAGAATTTCTATTCCTCTATTGTCCATCCAATAGCCTAGTCACTGTAGCAACTCAGCTATCCTGGTTTTTTAACTGATATACAGTTAACTGTCTATATTTTTAGGAAGATTTTCCTGTTGCATAATGACTGTGGCCCCCCTCCCTCACATGCACACAGAGTCACTCCTTTGCTCTCTCTCTCTCTCTCTTGAGATTTGTGAATTGTTTTTCCTTTGTCCACCATATGTTGTCAACATAGGTACACTGTAATTCTGTGAAAATCTCTGCAGATTTTCCATGCTGAATACAAAGTATATGAGTATTCACCTTTAACTAAACTTCTTCAGATATCCTAACCTCAGTAAAGCAGTTTGTAATAAATTTTAATACCAAATATAGAAATTTCATTATCTACATGCATACTGGTACTGAGATAAAAACTTATTGCAATCTCAATGACTCTAGGATACTTTCTTTTGGCCCTTATTGCTGTCATTTCCTGTGTGTAACTGCAGACATCTCTGATGTCTTCTGCTACTAACTTATAATTAAATGACAGAATAGCAATGTTTGCTGCCATCATCTGGACCTATTTGTGACAGACATCAACAGTGACTGCTAACAAACATACATAATTATTATATGGGTTAATTAACACCGTCCAATGTGACTGATAATTTTTTTCCCTTCTTTTTTAATCTTTTATCCCTGACATGTTTCGGTCATATAGACCATCTTTAGAAGGATAAGACCGAAACACGTCAAGGATAAAAGATTAAAAAGAAAAAACATTTTATCAGTCACACTGGACAGTGTTAATTAACCTTTATAATATTGCTATTGCGACAGACCAGGATGAACCAAATAAAAATATATACGAATATATATAACATCAAAATAGGTGTACTTGTATCCTTAATAAATTATATGAATGAATTTATGATTCAGACTATCAATAAATATTGATTCTTTTCATAGTCGCTCCTCAGTGGGTCATGGAACCACAGGATGTTGCAACCCTAGCTGGAGGCACCCTTATTGTTCACTGTCAGGCTCAGGGATTTCCACAGCCTCAAATTACGTGGATGAGAGGACATGGTAAGAAAGTAAGAACTAATACATCTTACGACACAGTGACTGGGCTATGGGCTGAATGACCAAGGAGTCAGCTTTTGATTCCTTGCAGGGGCAAGAGATTTTTCTCTTCTCCATAACGTCCATACTGGCCCTGAGACGCACCCACCCTCATATACAATGGATGCACACAAGCACATGGAAGTAAAAGTATTTTAATTCCCTTTTAATTAAAAATAGAGAAGAAAATTTTGATTTAAATTAATGCAATTTTATACTTATTCAGATGTTGCCTTCAAGTTTTGTTCAGAGTTTACACTGACTGTTGCCTTTCAGAGAGAATGTCATCAGATTTTCAACCTTTAGATTATGCAGATGGTCGGACAGTACTTACATCAAACGGGAGCCTGGTGATTCAGTCTGTTGGACCTAAAGATGAGGGTTACTACTTGTGTAAGGCCACAAATGGTATTGGTGCAGGCCTTAGTAAAGTGGTATCTCTTGCTGTTAATGGTAAGTACAATGCCAGTGGGCTCTATTAATGTCACACACAGTGTACAGTTAATGCAACAGTCCTTGTTAGTAACTACATAAGGTGTCAAGTTATGATCTCATAGGTTAGGAACCCTCTCAGAATCATCCATTTAATGAACTGGAAAGGCTCTGAATGAAAATAGTCACATCTTATTCAGGTACTTTACTGGCACTTGCCTGGAGAGACTGAGGAAAACCAAAACTTCAGTAAGGATAGCTGGTGTTACAGCCATGATCCTAACCAAGGACTTCTGCATTACAGCTCATACCAACCCATTCATTTACTTTAATTGATTAAAATAGGTTATATATTAAAACAGCTTATTGTAAACATGTCTTGAAATGCATTCAATTTGTATTTTATAATAAGGATTTAATATATTTTATTAGTATTATGTATAATTCAGGAGATACAACATGTTATCATTTTTTATTAATGTTCAGTGATGACATTATTTGCCTATTATATAATTTAATTTGCAGAACCAGTGAAATTTGATACACCTGCCAGAAATGTCACAGCACGGAGAGGGGAGTCTGTGACATTGAGCTGTGACGTGCATGGGGACCATCCCATACAAGTGTACTGGCTGTTCAATGAACAGAGAATTCATCACAATAATTACAGGCATGTTGCGTATTGTATTTAGCATTTCTTTCGTGTCTACAAGTTTGCTGAGGTTCTTGGGGGGATGGCAGGAATTGGAACTGATGTACATGTTTATCTTACTGTTACATAAAGAGAAGCACTAAATTAAATTTTAAGTTCTAGATAGACATTTTCATTTGTTCAATTGAATTAAAGACTCTTTTCCTTTAACCCTTTCTGTGCAGCATACTGACTAGATTTCTTAGGGTACTTTCTACTAAAGCCTCCACAGACCAAGAGATCGGTTCATTGTTAACCAGTTAATATAAGAAGAATTTCTGTCAGTGGAGGGTATCGTATGTGACATAATGATGTTTGGAAGGGGGGCCAGATGGTCATTGATTTGGCCTTTTTTTGTATTTACAATTATTTTTCACGGTAAAAGAAATTGGAGGAAAGAACAGACTTTCACATGACCTATGTCTGTTGCTCCTTGGATGTCATTTGAGGATGTATTGTTGTTTTATTTTCTGTGTGTCTGCATTTACCCCAAGTAGCCTTAGCCTTTTAGCAGAGTAAGAACTCTTGGATCCAAATGCATATCTGTGTGACACAGCCTTGTCATATTTGTGTATATTTCAACAGTAGGAAGCTGTCGTAACTCTTATTTTATACATTAGGTATTTCTTATAAATATGGAAATATATGTTATGTGATTACAGATTCAGTTTGTCTGAAGTTAAGTTGGACACTGGTTTGCAGAGCCATCTACTGATACAACAATCAGATCGCCAGGACTCAGGATTTTACATCTGCCAGGCAGACAACATGTTTGGACATGCTAAACAAACCACTTTATTAGCTGTTCAAGGTGCTGTGTGTAGGAGATATATTTTTATTATGGTTCTGAATTTATTTGCAACATAATAAGGTGCTAATAATGCAGATATAGCCTATTTAATAAAAATAATCTATCCTTGTCCAAAATCATTGTATGCAATAAAGAATCACATCTTAATTGATGTTTATGTTTTTATATAAGAAGTCTGAACATACATTGTCCCAGTGTGAGTTTATCTTCCACATAATTAATAATCCAGCATGGTGGGATGGTGATTGGAGAAATATTTCCATTTGGCAAACATGGCAACACTCTCTGTTGCCTATTTCACAACCGAACTTTGAAATGACATTCTTCTCACATACTTCACAGAGGACGTATACAAATTCAGCCATTCCATTGTCATGGACATAATGAAACCTCGTACCAAAATAAACATGAAATCAAGGGAAAATGTAAGATCAGATACATGAAAATGGTGGAAGATAAAGAGTGATATAGACTGCTTAATTCTGTAACTTTAGCAGGCCTTTTGAAATGAATGTATTTGAACACAATAGTAATTCAAATGCATATACATTAAACTACATGTCATGTTATGTCTTTATTCAGTTATATAGAGTTATTTGTCTCTCTTCTCTTGAGCTCTCTAGTCTGTATAGTTCTGTCACGTGAAATTCAGAAAGTTCAATTTGCAAATGTGTGCCCAAATAGACGCACAAGTATTGACTATGAGCAGAATGGTCTCATTGTTTCTCTGAATTTTCCAAAACCGAATACTGTAATATAAAATTGGGTAGATTTATGTTGTCAGGCCTTGAAAAGTGAAGTGTAAATTAGGAAAAAATGTAACGTTGTTATGGGTGTTTGGCTGGGACTGAACGATGTAAGAATCAGGAAGAGCGTAAAATGAAGGCATATAAAATTGGAGTTTCGCTGTATATGTTGCACTGTATGTATTTGTTATGCTGATCACAGTGGCCATGCAGTCTAAGGCATGAACTGTCTTCACTTGTTCGGATGCTGGGTTCAGGGGTTCGAATCCCAATCATGGCATGGATGTTTGGTGTATATATGTGTATATTTTGTATTTGTGTTGTCCTGTGCATAGGTAGTGGCCTTGCGATGGGCTGATCACTTGTCCAAGGAGTCCTACCGTCTGTGTAAAAAGATTAGGAAACTGAAGAAGAGGCCAGGGCCCAACAAAGGCCTGTAGAGCCTTTGATGAATGAATGATTATATATGTTTATAATGTGATAAATAATTTCAAGTCTTTTTTTGTTGCTAGAACCCCCAGACCCACCAGTCAACCTGGAAGTGATTGAAGTGGGTAGCCGTGCAGTAAGACTGTCATGGCAACCGCCATTTGACGGACATAGCAAACTGCTTGGCTACACTATTCAGTACAAAGCATTTCCTGCATCAAGCCATGGTGAAGTGACTGACTGGCAACACGCTAATACCCTTAACTTGTCCATTAGTGCTGTAGAAGCTGGTGGCCTGGCCATGGGGTACTGTACTCACTTTTGTTTCTTTCATTAGATCTGCAAGCAGCAACATTTACTTTCACATACTGCATTTTTAAAAGAACTTTGTAGGTGGAAGATATTTCTGCAGTGCCAGATTTGTCCTATAAGACAACAGTATTCTGTATCCTGCAGTCTCTTTTAAACTCACTGTAGAAAGAAAATCATGGTAAAGGTGCCCATGTATTTAACTAAGTCACTGTGCCATGAAGATGTACATTGAAGTGGATGTATACATACATCCACGTTTTCTTGACCTTAGCACTAGTTGGAGGTGAGTGGTCAGCTTCAGGTCCCAGCCACTTTAATCCCATATAAAGAGCCCCTGATACCCATTGGATAGGAGGCTGGGCGTGCCTCAGAGCCAGTCTTGATGACATGGAGAAGTGAAAATTCTTGACCCTACTGGGATCAAACTCCTGTAGCCACTTGCACTGGAACAATATAATGATGATATAAGGCTATATTGACAGCAGAATTATTGCAGATGTGAGGTTTCTCCAAAATGTTGGTAAAAGCCTGTAGTATTATGTGTTCTCATAACTCAGAAGGCCACAGTCTAAAAGTGATGGGAGTCTGACTTGGTGGTCTAGTGGTACCATAGTCGCCACTGGACCAAATGTACACAGGTTCAAATCTGGCTGAGGCCAGTTGATTTTAAGGATGATAGAAACTTGCAATGCTCTGTATTTATGGCCTCTTGCTAATGATAAGAGGCGAGAGAAAGCGAAATCAGGTGCCCACAAAGCTCCCTAACCTGCTTTTAGATGCAGCTGTAGTCACAAAACTGTGGAGACCCTTGGTGGACAAGGGTGGGAACAACTTCAAATCACTCAACCCAACTTAATTACATTGGATAACTGGATATCATAACTTGTCCAAGTGTTGTCCTACTCGAAAATGAGTTACAAAATAAGAGAAAGGAAGCAAAAATAACTTAATTGCTAAGTGCAGCATTAGAAACCAAGCAGCTTTTGGGATATGTCATGTGCTTTGGTAAAGTTTACTGACGCTTCAGAGTAACACACTGCCTCCATCATCATGGTAGGAAATTACTCTCATTTTCAGATCAGAAAAATACTCTTACTCTTCTTCCCTGATGGAACAATTTAAGTTTATGAGGTAAATCTACACCAGACCACATGAAGTCACATCCTAGAATACAGTACTTTAAATATATGTCCCTTTCTCTTCTTGCTAATAATTGACTGTATCCATACTAATGTTCTCTAAATGTCTCATGTTCTTTTGTGATATTTTCTCTTCAGGACTGAGCAGCAGCAACACACAGCAGTGCTGACTGGGCTCCATCCTGCAACCACATACCATATCAGGATGTTGGCCATCAATGGAATTGAACCCAGTGCCTTCACTGATCCTATAGCAGCCAAGACTCAGGAGGAAGGTGATTTGCATTTTAAACCTAACCTAAAAAATGGAATATTTCTGACTTCATGGCAAACAAATGCTGAAATCTTAATACACCGAAACCCTGAATATCATTATTTTATCTAAATTTACAATATGTATCATACTAGGAAAGTGAAGACATAAAAATTCCATGGATAAAAGTCATATAGAACGACAGAGAATAAATTTGAGATTGTCTGGATTCTTCATACTGGTTGCTTACTGGCACATACTAGCTGAGAAAAGAGTACTGCTTCTCAGCCCTTAAGGCAGCTTCTACACGAGCGCACAAAATGCGTCCATTGTAACGAACATTGTGACGTCCATTGTAACGCATGTCATGACATCTGTTATAGAAATAAACGAGAGACGAATGCTACACTTTCTTCTGGCTCCATTGCAGACAAAAAACTATGCACCTCATTCTGCAACTGTGTGGTGTCCTCAGCAAAGTACGTTCATTACAACAGACGCATTTTGTGCACTCATGTAGACGCTGCTAGTTATATGCTTCATTAAACACTGTGCATTTCAATAAGAAAATACCATCACAGATACACAGATAGCAGTCACATAAACCTTAACATTGTTGTGCAAAGATATTGAATGAGTTTTGTTGTTACATTTGCAGTTCCTGTGGGACCACCACAGAGTGTTCATGTTGAGACGCTTGGTCCTGATCAGCTTCTTGTTACATGGAAGGTACTACTTTATTATTATAGGAAATAAAGTTAAAAGTGACTTCAAAATATACTGAAATTTCTGAGTAAATGTACAATTGCATCCATTTAGTTAATGGGGCATGTGGTAGTTTAGTTGGCTGAGGCACTATGCTACATGCCTGAAGGTCATGGGTTCGATTCCCGATGAAGCCATTGGATTTTTCAGTTGACCTAATCCATCCAGCTGTACTATGGCCCTGGTGTGGGCTACAGCCTCTAACAGAAATAAGTACCAGGAATCTTCCTGGGGATAAAAGGCAGCTGGCATGTAAGGCTGACAATCTCATCACTATCTGTGAGCTGATATTCTAGAAAATGTAGGGGCCTCAACGTCTCACATTCCTATGCGCCTCCATGGCCTGTTACAGGGATAGCTTCATCTTTACCTTACATTTAATTAATGTTGTTTTCTGGTACCAGCCAAGGCCAAGTAAATATAAACAATGTTTTATTTTCTCATATTTAGTGAACTTTGGTTTTCTAAATAACTTGCATCTGCCGTAAGAAACTGTTTGCCTTCCAGAGCTTTTCCCTCGATTTGGTGTGATTATGGTTGAAACAGCTATTAACAGCCATGCATTCTCTCTGCTGAAAATCATTACTGTAGATCAGTAATCTTTGGTGAGTGACATCACACATTGAGCACACAGCAAAGCCCCACTGCTTGTGGCATTATACTTGCTTTCATTCCACATATAAATGTTCCAACTCAACGGTTATCCTCAAGGTTTCGTTGACTCAGTTACTAATTCCAAGGGCAGCAGTCATCTGAATGAAGAGGAAAAGCCTCTGGACTCTGTGTATAATCCCATTTGTGAAGGGTGTTTCAGAGAAGTTGAAATGTATAGAGAATCAATATAACATTAGGACGATCTTCAAAACTAAACACACTCTTAGTAGTCTACTCATGAAAACCAGGCCAGAAAGAGATCCGCAACAGATGCCGTAATGCATCTACAGTATTCTCTGTGAATGTGGCAGAAGCTAAATTGGCGAAACAGGGAGACATTTAGCCGTGCGGCCTCATGAACACGGGCACAGTCTCCAATAGGGTCTTCTAGAAAAATCACAATTAGCCCAACGTGCCTATGAAGAGGGTCATAGGGTAGGCTGGGTTAAGCTAGGATTTTGGAAATTGAAATTAATAGCAGGTAGATGAAATACAAGAATCGCCCCATATGGCAAGCTTAACCAATCCGAAGATCCAACCCAGTTTGGACATTTCTCCCATCTGGATCACTCTTATCAGCAGTGAGCTTACAAACTCACAGAGAAGATCAGTATGATGTGACAGATTCTTCATGGGTTTATATAAGATTTCATCCCCGAGTGTTCAGTTTTTACTCCACAGATGGCACAAATGGTTTCACAAATTCGCCATTTAATCCTATGCACTGGTCCTCATGAAATTGGTTTGTTGCATAAATTTTCATCTCCATTTCTCTCTTAGTATCAGGTCTGCAAATGCTTTATCACAATTTTTAGTGTATATGTACGTGTTATCTCCCCTCAAAAAAGGCTGATCTCAGGTATTTATACAGCTGCAGTTACAGTGACATGGGTTATCCAGTGACTGAGGTTAGCTTTTCTGAAGGAACCCAACAGACTAGATGTCTTGCCCCTTACCTGAGGAAGGAAACAGATCCAGTTTCCAAAACGTTGTTTTCTAGTGTTTTTGGAATACTGGCTGATGGAAAAGTCCAAACACCAATTCCTTCTGACTGTTATATACCACCTTCAGAACACTTTAGAATCTGCTTCAGAAGATCTTTTCTGACGTCAGTGGGATATAGCATCAGTATGCATAAGGATGCCAGTAATTTGAGTCTTCCTATATGACTGTGGATGTGGAGTTGAATATAATGCAAGAAAGTTATAGATGGCATGTAACAGCACAATGCTTTAGTTTTGGCTAGGCTAAATTTCCAAGCATCATAGAATTATAATTATTTTCATGGGAATATTATGTTGCGTCTAAAAATATATATTGTCGCGTATCGGGCGTATAACGCGACAAATAAATTCTCGACGTATTCGATGTAGCGAATTTTATTTCACATTCGCACTTACAATCATCCAAATTACAATCTGACGATTACTGCTATCTGCAGTATCACAATTAGTACACTGAAAAATGCCACAATACAACTGACTAGTTGCTGGCTAACTCGGCGGTAGCTCCAGGACTCGCTGACTGTCTCAGTACAACTCTGCGGTAGCCACACTAGAACTGACTGGTACAAGCTGTGCACCTCACTTATATAGCTGCCGTGCTTACCGGTTGCATAATGAGTGCCACGTCATCCTATTACGTCACCGCTGTTGATTCGCCTTGCATAGTTACCCGGTTACGGGGCTCGGCTATCTTCGGCTCCGCTCGGCTCTCTTCGGCTCCGCTCGTGACGTCACCGCGCATGGCTGCCAGGATGCGGGGTGATTACTCGCCTATTNCAGTCATGTATGACATTTTGCAAATAAATGCTAGGATAGTATCATAATATCAGGCCATTCTCACTTCCTTTAACCTTTTTCAAATTCATTGTTTACTGTCATACAGTCATTCAGAGCTTAGTTTTGTGTTTCAGATAGTATCTTTAAAAAATTACAAGGTAGCTTACATACTGTTTTCTCTTACAATTATTCAGTCAATCGAAAAAATAGTTTATTACTGAAAATCGTACATGAACTGCGGTATGTTTTTAACATAAACTTTAGAACCAGTTCCTTTTTCTATATACATATTTGCCACTACTCTTATATTATCTTTAGCTTGAAGGTTGAAGCACAAAATGCACTGGCAAACGTGTAACTTCTGACTTTCATGAGATTATTACTATTATTATTATTATTATTAGAATTATGGAAGGATGTGGGAATAGGGTTTCGTGTAGAGACTTATTTAAGAAACTACATATTTTGCCTCTGACATCTCAATATTTATTGTCTTTATTGATGTTTGTAGTTTAACATAAAGACTTTTTTATAACAAGCATTAAAAGTCACAACCTAGAAACTAGGCAAAGTAATAACTTATATATTCCACAGGCAAACTTATCCATTTATCAAAGAGGAGGCTATTATTCGGGGATAAAAATCTTTAACCAATTACCCTCTCATATTAAGAAGGTTAATGGTAACATAGCTAAATTCAAAACCACTTAAAAAAAATTTATACGTGAAATCATTCTACTCATTAGAAGAGTACTTTGAGCAATAATGAGAGTAGTTATAATAAACATATCTGAATGTAAATTTTATGGTTCACTTGTGTATTATATTTGTAATTTATGATTTTTTGTTCATTGTAAACTCATTTTATAATGCGTGTTTTGTTTTATTTATGAGTTTACCTGTGCATTGCCAATTAATCTTATTTTCAGTAATCTGAAGGATTTATTTACTATTTGTAACTCATAATTATTTGTTTATTGTGGATTTCTTATTTAATATGACTGTTCTTAAATGACATGTTTCTGACTTTTTATTTACATAATCTAAGGCCTTAACTATTTATATTTTATACTGTTGTAATGTTCCATGTAAACAACTTTTGTAATTGGTCTGTATGTACTGAGTGAGGACAAGTTCTGTATCCATCTTGTGGATGTCTGGGGAATACTGAATAAATACTAATACTACTCATCAGCTCTTTACTAGTATTTTCACTGGTGCATACCACTCAGAAGACCCTAGTTCTAAGTAACTTGTTTAGAAAAACACTTACTTGATCGTTATCCTAGATATTTGGAAGAGAAAAGGAAATAATTTTTCTTGCAAATAATGTTTCCAGCCACCTAAAGCTGAGCTATGGAATGGAGATTTGTTGGGATATGTCGTCTACTGGACTGTACATGGTGCTTCAGCCAGCTTTGGAACCAACCACACCAGCTCACATACAGTTTGTATTCATTTTAGTATATCATGCAATTTTGTTCAGAGTAAATGGTCTGAATTACATGTATATTTCTTATAATATAAGGACTTAATTCTTAAAAAGTATTGAACATCTTTTAATTTAATTTTGCATAAAATTATCTCTGGTTAATGTATTGAAAATATACTGGGATTTCTTTGCATAGTGCTGTAACCCATAGCTTACCTTAATTCTTTCTCTGGCCTTGGCATGAAATTATTCCAACAACCTACATATAGTTTCCTTTTGTTGGAGGCTTCAAATATTATATAATAAAATCCTTTCAATTTATGTGAATAAAAAATAAATAAATTATTTTCTATTAAATTTTTGTTGGTTTGAGTTGTTTGAGTAAATCTGATATGCATCAGTCAAAAAATCCATCATGTAAAAAGTCAGGACAAGTAAGACAGGAAAAGAATTAAGGACCATCAGCTTATTCTAAATGAAACCATAATGTGTTCCAAATATTGATAGAATATTTTAATTATATGAGTTGCTAAGTCTTGATGATATTATTAAGGCAATATTATTGTTTGTGAAATGAACTGTGAGTAGATTTGATCGCAGCAGTCTTCACAGATGGACTATTGAAGTATGCAGTGTTCCTTGTAATCTCTATTCTGAAAATAATTTCCTGTGTCTAACTCTCTTAATCTGTTTAATATTATTTCTGAGATGTAATTGGCTGCTCTGTTCAAACAGCCATAGTATGTCTACAACACATTTTTTCTTTTATTTTTCATTAACTGAGTTGGTTGATGTAGCACAGATGCTCTTGCCTCATATTTTGAAGATGCTTATTTTGAGTCTTGGCTGGGATACCATCTATCCTCACTTGGGCTTATCATGATGTTCCTCCAGACAGATTCTGGGATAGTACCACAGTTAGACCATGAATGCATCATTCCGGATCTTTCCCAATTTGTCATTCATCTGTCATCCTACCATTTTATTCTATATAGTTTAGCTGCTGACAGCGTTGTAAAACAAACATCTCCAAAAGAGAAAACTTCTGAGTAGTTCTGCCTGTCAACAGATGGCAGTCTTATGCTCTTCTGTGATCTTTGTTTGATCAAAGAATGCATTTCATGTATCATTATACAAGGTGTGGCAATAAAGAAACCGGATTACTTTTATGACTCATTTCCGGCCATGTCATTGACGAAGAGGAGGGTAGGGCATTGACCCTTGGACTTCCCTCTACCGTCACACAAAGTTTCATTCACGTGCATCGGTTAGTCTGGCCGCGACCATTGTTAGAAGCGGATCGTGTTTCTGAGCTCCGTCGGAATAATGCTGAGTGCTAATGCAGAACAACGTGCTAACATCAAATTCCTCACAAAACTTGGAAAATCTGCCACTGAAACTTACAATTTGTTGACAGAAGTATATGGTGATCAGTGTCTATCTCGCACGCAAGTTTTCGAGTGGTTTAAGAAGTTTATGGAGGGTAGGAAAAACGTCGGGAACGATCCGATCC